GCGGGTTCACTGTGAGAGCCCAACAGACAAAGTTTTCCAGTGGGCACATACGGTAAGCTTAAACAGAAGAAGATTTGGTCCTGTTCGCATTTTGAAGAAGATCAATGATAATGCTTATGTGGTGGATCTTTCAGAAGTTAGCCATCTCCAAAACTTTCAATGTCCAAGACTTATTGCGATCATACGACTCCAGATATCCAATTCCTCTAGTTACTCGGGGACGAGTTCTTTCAAAGAAGGGGAACTGATGCCAGAACAGGTCAAGTTCAAAGGAAAATTAATTAATGAATACATTGGATACACTTCATTCCTTGTATTAATGGATACATATGGATACATTTCATTCTTGTATTCAGTGGATACATTGGATTGTATTCGTATCTTTCAATCTCTTCAAGGTCTAAAGATTAGGTTCTTTGTATTTGATACATTGTATTTGGTACAAAGTTTAAGGAGTTTGTTTTAGTATTTATTTTTGTATTAGGAAATTCACAGTTTGAGTATCTAGTAGTTAGTATAAATATGTTTGTAAGCCCTGTGGCAAAGACATAGAAAGAAAGAAAAGAGTTTTTTTAAGAATATAACCAGAGTTTTCCCCATTTACCTTGTGCGCAAGATTGTTTATCTTTGCTCGTGAATTCGAGTTGTTACTGTCCGAAGAACGATATCTTCCCCTTCGTCTACTAGAACGATATCTAGCCATTCGTTCTATTACAATGCTGCGTCAATCTCAATGTGATTATCATACTGTCAACTGAAGTTATATCAAAAGAAACTTTGCATCCAATTTAGTCAATTATTGGTTACAATGTGAATGCCAAGTTATGAGTAGGAATTTTTTTGATGATGATGATGATGATAGGTGTGTATTGGAATTACTCCATCCTTTTGCCCCATGTGGAAGTATACTAAGGCTTCGTTTGGGAACAGGCTAATTTAGTAACTTTTTGACTATTTGGCTAAAAAGGTAGGTAAAAAAAACTTATATGTTTGGGATGACTTTTTGGCTAATTACGAAAAGATGTGCAAAAAGTAGAGAGAAAAGAGAATCTTTAACTTTTTAGTATGGGTTGTTGGCTTTTTGGCTAATTTAGTAACTTTTTGGCTAATTGGCTAAAATAGCCTCTTGCCAAACGAGACCTTAGTAACTTTTTGGCTAATTGGCTAAAATAACCTCTTGCCAAACGGGGCCTAAGTGGTCGTGTGGTGTTGATTTTTTTTGTGAGTTTTGACTTTTGTAGGACTTAAAAAAGTTAGTGTTCTAAAAAATATATTTTAAATTAAAAAATTACTTAAAAAATCAACCCCAAACTAGGCGTAAATAGCTCTACTTGTGTGTGTGATACAAGGGGTAGTGTTTGAGATGGTTAGGGAAATGCATAATGTTAGAGGTTCTCCAATGGTCCGGTGAAAGGCTTGTTATGGTCAAAAAGTAGTATGAAGTTTAATTCTGAGCTCTTTAATGATTAGCTAAACTTTATGCTGTATTTTAACATTGTTAAACTTTGTGTTAAATTTGACACAAGATTTAATTATTGCTAAAATTTAAAATGCCCTTTTGTTTTACATCTCTCATTGTGGGATCAACATATAGCATTTTTATTCAGAATTTTGTGAGAAAAATAAAATAAATAATATTTACATCATTGAGCAACATTGTTAAAAAATATAACATTTTGACACAACCTGTTGTTAAAACATAAGAGTAGCATGTTATTTAGTTATTGAATCACTAATTTGGAGATATGGTGGTACTACATGGATTAATTAGTGTATTAATTAGTGTACTGATATTAGTTATGACATTATTATTGACCCCACTCATTATATAAATTACAAATATCAAAATTATTTTAAATTATGTTATATCATTAATTGGTACATTAAATAATATACTAATTGGTGCATATAATATTATTCTTAGAAATATTCTTAGCAAGGTAAAGAGGGTGACCATTTAAGTGCAAAATACTTTGACAATCACATTTCAATGGATACCATCTAAAAACAAAATTTAAAAAATCAATGCATAAACATGGATGTTTTTAAGTTGGTTGTTGTTGGGTTTTTTTTTTTTTTGAAATATTTTTTTAAAAAAATTATTTTCAAATACAATTCACTAAACAAATTTTCTTTAAAACAAAAAAAACCTTACCAAGCATGAATTGATAAATACTTTTTCTATTATAAAATTGTAATGGTGTGTTAGCAAAAATTATTTCACCAATTTCTCCCCCAACTCCAATTAATAAAAAATTCAATTACCATCTAATGAAAATAATGAATTGTTTGAATTTTTATTTTAAAAAAAACAAAATTCTATCGACTTTGATATAGTTTTCATCTAACTGCTGTAATTATAAAAGTTCAGATTTAAATAGAAAAATTAATTCCAATCTTAAAAAATAAATAAATTGAACAAAACAAAAACAAAATTCACATCTTATAGTAGTCAAACTTCCCCAACTCTGTAAGCTCTCTCTCTCGCTCTCTCTCTCTCTCTCATGGCGGCTCTGAGAAGAATCCCTAAGGTCATTTTGGGCCAAGTCTCACATTCGCAATCAAACCCTAGTTCTCTTCTACCTCCTCTCTCGCTCTTCATTTCTCGCAGAGGCATAGCTTCCAAGCTTTTCGTCGGAGGTAAATTCTCCCAATCTCCTTTTCGATTGAATCTTCTATTTATCTTGTTTCTGTAGCTACTGATTAATTTGTATGGTGATTTCCTCAACTTCATTGTGTACATGTTAATCTGGACTGACCAATTTGATTGGGTTGTGTAAAATTATGGTTATTAATGTTGATTTTTTTTTTTCCAGTAAAATATAGTGGATGAACTAGGTTTGATTAGACCTATTATGATTATTAATGTGAATTTATCCCTAAAACAGTGTGTTTTATCACTTACTGGATTATACCCATTTTCTTGAATCATGTACCAAAAATAAGAAAAAGAAAAAAAGAAACCAACTTTAATCGTTTTACCAGAATTTATTTCTTTTTAGGAAGATCAAAATAGTTATTGGATGTACTACTTTGCTTTCTAGCTATTGTTTTCTTCTATTATGTGTCAATTGTTGCTAGTTGAGGAATTAAACGACTTTCACGTGAAACAGTGGCGACAAATTGCAACAGCAATTTCCATAGAGTTGAGTTTTGTGTTTTTTGCAATATTTCCATTTGTTTAAGGGGAAAATGTTTTCTGCAGAAAATATTTTCTGGAAAGTTGACTTGCTTTCCTGTGTTTGGTTGGACCTGAAAATGTTTTCTTTTGTTTGGTTCACATGAAAAATAATTAATATTCCAATATTTTAACTCCACTCTAAATCTGTCACTTGCTTCATGAAATTGTTTGTACCATAAAATGTGACAGCCTTCTCTTTCTTATATGTTTCAATCATCAAAATGAACTCGTACTAATCATGAACCCAACATAGATATAAGCATAATAATCAAAATCAAAATCATGTCAAATAGTTAAATTAAAGATGCTTCTATATTCAAAATAATCAAATATAAGGCCATCAACCCATCCTCCTCCTCCCAATCTTGCATGTCTCTGCACACAATGTCCCACACACTCCAATTGTCATCTCTATGCTATGCACTGTTTTCCACAGCCGCCTCCTTATTCCTTGAACAACTTCTTCTTTGGCTTAATTTTTCTACTTTTTAAACATTGAAGAGCCTAGAACCAGATTTGAATAACATTTCCTTACCCTTGAACTCCCCTAGATCAAATATTCATGATTCATCCAATTATACAAAACTAACACATTTAAAGCCAAAAACCAGCAAGATTACTATTCTTGGGGTCCTGTTTACAGTGCCCTGAACAGCTCCCAATCATCGCCTAAACTCTTGGTTTCTTACTTCCTAAACCCCAAGAAGCACTACAGTTTTATTTACGTTTAATCTCCAAAATCCAATTAAAGCAAACCTCTAAACCTACCCTTTTTTCTGCCATACATCGAAGTTGGGTCACTACCAATGGGAGAGTGTTCCTAATGCAAAGAGAGAGAATAAAATCCCCCCAGTTAGGGGGTAAAGCCCTAAAGGTTCGAGAGAAAACCAAGGCATTTGGCCCAATTATTTTCTATAATTTTTAATCAAAAGCTAAGGACAACCCACCCAGTGTTTTAAAAGGTGCACTTAGGCTCCAGGTGCAGCAGTGTGCCTTAAACGGCTTGAGGTGAGGCGCATTTGGTAAGGCACACACTTTACTTCTCTTTTTTTTTTTTTGGATCAGCAAAGGTCAGTTGTTAGTTATCCTGGGAGGAGTTGAACCCCCAACCTCTGCCTTGCAAGCACCTAAGTGCTGCCTCCATTCCACATGGGCATTGGATCCCATACTTGTTTTCAGTAAATGATAAAGAGTTAGATGCTTGCATATAAAATTCTACATCCTCTTTATTTGAAGGGATTTAGAGTTTTAGAAAAGAAAAAAAAAAAAGTAATAAGATTTGGACTCCATATATGGAAGCTTAATAACTTTGACTTGTAAAATTGCAAATAAATGTAATGAAGTCTATACATAAAAATGTCCAATACGTGAACTTGGCAAAAAAGAAGATTATAGTACATATGAAACTTACCAAACTACTATTTTAATTAGCAGAAAATAGAAATTACCAAAATTTCGAAATTCATGTATAAAGTTGGCTTCATGATGAAATAAAGAAAACAATAAGACTTGGACTGAAACTTGGTACCAAGAGTTCCCAAAATGAAACCCAACTTCCGACAGTTTTATGTCTTCATTACTTTTTCGCTAAAACATTGTTTTCATACAAGATGTAAAGTAAGCCTACCTTTTTTTTAGCCCTTCTACCTACATTTATTTTATATTTTAATTGAAAATTTGATAGATAATAAATGTTTTTACAAGTGCGATTGATTTAAAATCAATTTTCCCATTGTCATTTGCCCTGAATAAATTAGAAATTAAATCAAATATCTAATGCATTATGTATGCATTGGTATGTAACAAAACCAAGAACCCTCCTCTTTGGTAGGCTGGCCTAATATGGGTTTCTTTGGTTCCATTTTTGCCTACTATTGGGTTGGAAAATGTTAGAATTTACCCAATCAGTGTGGTTTTGGGGGCTGGACATCAGCAACCACATCGGCCTGTGCTCCATGGGAAAGTTAACTTAACTGGGGGAAATAAGTTCATTGGTATCTTTTCAAGATGGCATAATTTTACTATTCTAATATTTTAATTGGACTCATTTGGAGTCGTTCATGTCATTTGTCTTCTTTGAAAGATCAACAATCTGATATATATATATCCTTGTGCAATTCATCGACATGTCTACCCTGTCTAAACCAAATCTTGTTTACGAATACTCAAAATGCATGTGCATCTTTTTGTTGTCTTTGGATACAATATAAATTCCTTTTTGGAACCTTCCTCATCACTTTTTAAATTTTTTAATCACTGTGTGCAGGACTATCATTTTACACTACAGATAAGGGATTATTAGAAGCATTTTCCCAATATGGCCAAGTTATTGAAGGTTCGTTCCGGATAGTAAATCATGCAATAAGAGTAAACCGCCTTCTTAAGCTTGTGAAATATAATGAAGCCTGACATTGTTCCTTTTGACAGCTAAAATTGTAATGGATAGAGTATCAGACAGATCAAAAGGCTTTGGTTTTGTGACCTTCGCATTGCAAGATGAAGCTGAGAAAGCCAAAGAAGAAATGGATGGAAAGGTTTGTGAATTTATTTTTTTCTCCTTCATAGCTTTAGTCATTTAACCTGAGCAGTAATGGGTTTTGGTTGCTGGCAGACACTGAATGGACGTGTTGTTTTTGTGGACTATGCCAAGCCTCAAACAAATTTTGGTGGTGGGGTGCCAATAGCAAGAGGGCCTCCGGAGCCAACCACTGACCAATGATTGATTACTTGTAATGAGATTGATTTGACTCGTTTGATACTGGCCAGCAGGAAATCAAATACCGAATTCTGGGCCTTAAGAATTTGTTCTGTCAGTTACATTTTCATTCTGATTCTCACAAATGCTCAAAGCTGATTTTTGGTGATTTCAGATGCGAACTTATATCAGAAGCATCACCAGCACCAGAAGCAAGAGCCAATGCACTCTTACCTGAGAAACCTACGGTAACTATATTGAGCTGTTTGACATTTGGCTACTGCTCACATTTCTATATCCCGTTTTTGTTTTTTTGGTCATAATATTTATCTAAGAGAAATAAACTTTGAATTTACTGGATACAAGAATGTGCCTGTAAAGTTAAAACTGAAATATAAGCTATGACTGAGACTGAGTTTGTCATCTTGAGGTCTACGTTTTTTTCTTTTCTTTTTTATTTTTATTTTATACTCTGGATGGAATCTAGTTTTTGTCAGTTTATTCTCTATTCTTCTGGTATTTGTTTGGTTGAAACCAAAAATACAGCATGGACAGGGAGGAGGTGTTTTGGAGGACAGCTACTACTGTCTAATGCCTATCGGGTTTTTATTGTCTTTTTTTTTTTAAAAAAAATATTTTTTAAACACAATAATCCTATGGTGATTAATCTGGGTATTATATATAATGTTTGATTCACAGGAATGAATCATTCCGTCGTACTCATTTAATAATCATTCCAGTGAAAGGTCAATTATTCTGGAGAACTAAAAACTACCTTAAATTAGAACTGAGTAATATGAATCTGTAAAATTCGTAATTTGATCTGGTAGATTTAGATTAGTTTTTTGAATTCGTGGTTTGGTTCCAGATTGAAAAATAAAAAATCTATAGCCCACAGATCGGTTTCGGATTGGAACCAATACAAACTGTATATAAATAGTTTATATTTATATTATACACCATCTCGGCATAGTATCTTTTTTTATTCCATATAAAATCTAAACACAAACTTAAACCCGTATAATATCTTTTAGGGGTGAGCAACGGACATATTGATCCGTCGAAACTGACTGAACCAAACTGATCTGCCGCATTTTGGACGGATGCGTGATGACGAACGAACGGTTGCGGATTGATTTTTTTCAATCCGCCTAGTTTTGGACGGATGGCGGATTTGAGATTCATTTGGTCGCAACCGAACTGCCAAACCGCGAACACCCTTAGTAATTTGTAAAACTTTTTATTTTCAATTTGTTTAGATATTCGGTTTGTTTTTTCAATTGAAAAAGAGTTTAAATATTCTGTTGAAAAAGAGTTTTCAACTTGAATATATTTTTTGATTTGAAAAAATAAATGTATTATTTATTTATATTTTTTAGTTTTTAAATCTAACTCTAAAAGTAATAAATAAAAAAGATGATATATGCTGGCTGGTTTTTGTTTTTAAAAATAGATACAGATGTAACAATACAGAGACATACAATCTCTACTACTGCTCTGTTCATGATTTTAGTGGTTTGAATTATTTTTATATTTTAAAAATCACATATTGTAATACTTTATATAGATGAAGCATGCAGTGATTATAATATGTGGATGAAGCATGCAGTAATTGTAATATTCTAAAGTTTCAAACTTTATTTGTTTGGATGAGACGTGCAATGATTGTAATACTTTTTTAAGTCATTGACTGTAATATTTTTTTTTTAAAGAAGTGCACAAGTTGAATTATATTGAAAATTTATAAAATTTTAAACCGTCAAATTGATTCGCATCCATCTGCCAATCCGCTCAATTCACGTCTGCCGGATTGGCGGACGGATGCGGATTGATTTTCTCCGATCTGTCAATCCGGCAAACGGATGACGGATTGGAGGTTCCGTGATCGCAACCGATTCGCACTCATCTTTTATTACTTTTGTTGGTTAGTTTTTAGTTTTAATTTGTAATGGTCTAAATATTTATGGTAAAATCAGTTTTTTTATGATTGTTTAAATTCTAGAACAGTATATCGCTATTATGAAAAGACATGTTGCTATTGTGGAATTAATATGATGCTATGTTTATGTTTTTATGAAATAAAAATGTTCTATAATTTTTTTTTTAGTTATTTAATTATGTGAATCCGTGATTCTAAACGAATCTAATTTGTGTTTAAATAGATTTGTTCGGATTAATTTTATGATATAAACGGGTTGGATTAATTTTAATTTTTCAAGAACTGTAAATAACAAACTGGTCTTAATTTTATTTCAATCAAGATCAATTCGGATCATACTGACTCTTACCTTAAATGTTGGGTAACGTGTCCGGTAATTATTTAGTTATTTCTGAGCATCATGTGGGGAATAACGTAGCAAACTAAATTATTAATTACAATCCACTTATTATGTGTTTATGTATTAATACTAGTTATGACTTTATTATTGACTTCACTTATTATACATATTATAATTTTTAAAAATATTTTAAATTATATCACATCATTAATCAGTACACTAATCAATATACTAATTAATACATATAACATTAATCGTTTCGGTTTTTTACTACACATATTTTTGTATTATCTAATAATTTCCCTGCGTCACCTATTGGTAATAGACATAGGGGGTGACATTTATTAAATTGGATGTGGGTTCCCTTTGGTTTTGTGCGTTATGTGCCTATTTTGGGCTCAATTTGTTTGATTTGAACTCATCAGTGTCGTTTAATTAGATTATTCATAAAAGAAAAAAAAAATTAGATTGTCAATTTTTTAAAGATAAATGTGAAAAAAAAAAATGTGGCTATTGATATTCAATCAACTTAATTTTTTTCTTATAAATAATCTACTCAAAAGGTGTAAAAACTTGAACAGTTTAAATTAACAAATTCGGTCCAAAATAGCTCAACTGGAACCTGGAGGGAAGCTGAATCTTATGAAATTAATGTATTGGTAATTAGATAATATTCAACTTTACTGAAAAAAAAAAAACAAAAACAAAAACAAAAACAAAACCCTGAGATCCTAAAAAATATTTATTTTAAATTTGTCCAAAATGAAGACAAAAATTTGAATGCAGCCGCCCAACCTGGACTATTCAACTGCCCTAAAAAAAACATTTATTTATTTATTTTTTCATTAGTAAATTATCAAGGTTATATTGGCATATATAGCCTTGTTTGGTAGGGCTGTGCGAAAGTGATTATATCTTATATCTTAACAGCTTATACCTTATAATTGTGAACATAAGCTGATTTCTGATTTATAAATTAAGCTTCTCTTTCCCCACTCAAAGAATAAGTTAATTTTTGACTTATAAAAAATAATAAACTGTATTATTAAATTGAATCAAACACATCAAAATAACTTAAATTAAATTAAAAATTAAAATAAACTAAAAATAAATCCTACTAAATAGGATCATGCTCGTCAGGAGGCCAATAATTATTGTTACGCAGCCTCGTGTATCATATGCATGAATGATTGGGTTTGGAGAGGTGTCTGGTGAGAGAGTCATTTATTGAGGCTATGGTATGGAGATTCCTTGCCCTGACATTTTTGTCTCAACCCCACAACACTTCATTCACATTGATACATAAAATTGATATAAATATTTCTCTTTTATTTCGTCATTAATATGTTTGTTTTAACATCAAAAATATTTTACTTATTTTTTATTGTTTGATTGAATAAAAAAATAAATAAAATATTTTTAAAAAAATATATTTTTACATCATTTTTCTTAAAAATAATTTACCTTTAAAAATTTTGTGAATTAATTTTTAGAAAGTTAATTTTCACTCTCTATCTTTTCAACACATTTAGTATTTTTAAATAAATATTTTAACTCATTAAAAAGTCATAAATGACACTTTATTGAATTAAAATTTATTTTTAGGCAATAAATTATTATTTTTTAAGTGTCAATCAAATGCCAAAAAACAAAAACAATTTTTTTGGGGGTGTAAAATCAATTTACAATAATTTTTTTTTTTTTTTGTGTGTGTAAAATATTTTACATTAAAACTAACGGAGTCTTAGTCTTGAAACTAGAAAAACTGGTTTAGAATTTTGTATAGATTTGATGTGTGGTGGAAATTAGACGAGTATATTGTTGTGTTCATATGTATAATGAATATGAACCACATTATTGAAAATTCTTGATAAATTTTGAGTATACTTTCTGGATTTATAGCATAATTGCTTGCAAATTAATAGCATCACATAAATAATGTGGATTTTACAAGATGGCACTATTAATCATTTTAGAGTATTCAATTTCATTTTTCAGCTGTATTGAATTTTATTGATCATTTTTAAAGTTCGAATAAAATATAATAAGTTTCACAATAAATGGAATAACGAGAGAAGAGAGAAGAGAGAAGAGAGTAGATGAAGTAGCAGCAATGGCGTTCGGTGAAAAGATGAAGAGAAGAGAAAAACTGGAAACTTTAAGGAGGGTGAAGTGAAAATTAAAGCGATTTTAGTAGTACAAGGGCCATATTAGTTAATGTTTCATATGTAGATGTGAGCAAATATTATGGGCTAATTATTAGTAGGGGCCATATTAGTTGATGTTTCTTATGTTGATGTGAGCAAATATAATGGGCTAATTATTAGTAGTTCTGGAGTATCATCATGTGACATTATTTATAATTAGTGTAGTGGGACATAGAAAAAAAAATTATAAAAACATGAGAGGTGCAAGTCATTATGTGGTAGGGTTACACCCTTCCATGTTTTTGTAATTTTTTTTTATCTCAGTGGGACGTAGTTTTTTCTTATTTATATAGTATTTCAAATTAATTACGTACCAATTTATTTATTTATTTTATTTTATTTTATTTTTTCTTCTTACAGATGAGACGTAGCTTTGTTAAGAACTACATAAAGAATGAGTTATTTAATATGTGTAGCAGTTTTTTATTTGCTAATACAGCACAATATAAAATTTTCCAGTATTATGTTGACTGACTTAACAATCACTCAAGGAAATAATTGTTATATGTGACTATAAATGTTAGGGTGAGATGTAATTTTCAGTTGGCAAATAAATGAACTATGTTTATGAAAAATGCTAATACAGCACAATATCACAAGATAATTTTCCAATATTATGTCGGCTTGCTTAACAATCACTCAAGGAAGTAATTATTATATGTGATTATTTTTAAATGATGTTAGGGTGAGATGTAATTTTCAGTTGGTAAATAAATGAACTATTTTTATGAAAAAATTGTATGAGAGAGATATTTGCAATTTATCTTTGATTATTTTAATTGCCAATTACACTACCCATCTCTATAATTTGGGACTCGTATCATTTTGATTTTTAACTTTTCAATTGTGACACATTTGACATTAAATTTTAAATCTTGTTACAAATAAGAACAATTGAAGATATCATTACTTAATTTCAAAGGCAAAATTGTCAAATTAATAAAATAAAAATTAATTTGACAAAAATGAATGTCAAAAAATTATTTTTAAATTTTTAAAAATTATTTATATCTACCAAAGAT